CACACTGTTTCGTTTCCCCTTCCTAAAATCCCCCTTATTGTAAACAAGAGATATGTCATCCTCTAGGAACTTGATTTATATATATGTATGCAATTCTATCATGACTTGTTGTTCAGATGATTATACAGATATTATCAACATAAATAATAATTTACAACTGTTTCTGAAATGTGTAATGCAGTGAACCACTTACACATGTAGTGCATCCCGCCTGCATCTTGCAGTCTACATGTAGGCTGAAATTCTTGACAAAAAAAAAATACATTAAATAATTTCTTTCTTTTGATGGAACACTGAATAAAATCTAATCTTATTGTTATTTAGAAATTCTGGAAAAAGGGGTTGGAGATGTGAACAAAAGCCTTCTTAGCATACATTTTTTATTTTGTACATGTTTTTGAAAAAATCAAGGATCACCTACTGTAGCTTCCCTTACAGACGAACATGATCTTTATCTTAAGCTTGTACGCTATTAATGAGTGGCCCCTACCTATCTGGTTTTGAGCTTCCATTATTCAACATTTCTTTAGTCAATGTGATTAAAGATGGGGAATACTGATATCAATACTGTCCCTAACTAAAAACAACCATAAACAGAAAACTGAATAGGAATAAATTAAAAATAGATGTTATAGAAACTTGACATATATTTAATATATTGTTTATTAGAGTAAGGCCAATCTAAATAAAATTAGATCTATCAATTGTTATTGAAGGGGAAGGCATATTTCATTATTTTAACATCACAACTGATTCACAAGAAATAATAAAAAAGAATATTCTAAAGAATTTATGACATCTAGCCTTTAACTTCAAGTTACTTTTTGTAATTTGAGTGTTTCCAATTGGAGTTGATCATGAAGAAGTACTAAATTCAAGAAAATTTACACAATGGCGAGAAGGAAGAAGAGTTGTTGAACTTGGTATACTTGCTGATGGATTGCGGGAATGTGCAAAATGTGGACTTCCTCTTCAACTTGGACACACTACCAGTATAATTACGTGTGGATTGACTGCTATTCTAAAGGTACAACTGGTTTAAATTATCCTGTGTGATCATGCAAATTGTTTGCTGTTATAATACTATGATGCCAGATTTAGTGTGGATTGACTTTCGAAACATATGTCAATAGACCTGCACATGTTTTTTCTGCCCCTGCTGTTCAGCGACGGGTTCATTAAGCTGCACCCTTGTATGTCTGTGCGCGCATCTGTACATAAGAAATTGGTTTCCGTTCTCTAACTTTAGTTTGCATCATCAAAATGTTTTGAAATTTATACACAATGCTTATAATACCACAAAACACAGATCAAGTTCAAATGTGGGTAGCATCACTTTCATTGTTCCTGAGTTATGCCCCTTTTTTTCTGTTTTTAAGTTATTTCTTTATTAACCAAAAAATATAGAAAAAAAGATATTGAAGTCATTGAGGAATTTAATTAATTTTGATATATTTAAACTTTAAAATTTAAATTTATTTTCTGTTTTGCTTTATTTTGCTATGAAATTTTTTTCAGTAGAAAACAGCCTGACTTTTGCTTGAAGTATTATATATGTATGAATAAAATGAGATCAAAATAAAGATGATGTTTAAAGATGTGGTTTAACTTTTTTGGCAGATTCCTTGTAGTAACACAGTTTGCAGACATGTCAATAATATACCAACTGGGAAAAGACAGGAGAGAATATGGGATGCAAATGTAAAACTTGCTACAGGTATTTGATATAACTAACATACATACAATGCAGAATTGAGTCTAATTAGCCATGGGCACCCTATTGTAATCAGTCTGTATGTCTAAGCCAGTAAACAGAGATTTTTGACCGTCAAATCAAGATTGACGACGTCAGGTATTCAAATAATGTTTTTTATTGTGATTCTTATGCAGTCTTGGTGTTGAAAGTCTTGTTTTGCCTGCAAAAATTTAGAAATAAAAAAATTCAGCAAAATGATGTCTTTGGCGTTGATAATCAGTGTAATAATATGACGTCACTTGCCAGCTTGAGGTATGTTTTTCAACTGTTGTGCAAATTTAACTTGCTGTTCGCCTCAAATATTAATTAAATAGCATAAAAGGATGTTTAAAAAGTAAGGTCATATTGGATTTGATATCAATGGTGCTAAACAGAATGCCTGATCTATTGCAATTTCAAAATGGCAGTAAAGAACAGACCCTGTCCTGGCCAAGGCATGTAGATAGAGAATTTGACGGTCAGTTTTTACCAAATAAAAATGTGCGTTACAAAAATATTGTATTTGATTTATTGAATTGCCTTTACTGCAATAGAATATAGTTTTTTTTCAATTTTAACAGCTTCATTAAAAGGCAAGTGAACACATTACTACCTGGTTTAAATATTCCTCCTGTGAGCCATTGTATGATGTCAGCCAGGCAAAAGGATGTTGGAGTTGCACTACAGGAAGTAGCAAAAGAAACAGTCGATCAAGCCCTGTGTGAGGAAATATAGTTAACTAAAAAGTAAGAAATATTTCTACCGGTATATTAATGGCTCCCTCACTTTGGTGGGGAGACAAACATGTATTCTTTTCAACTCTTTCTCCTCTGAAACTATTGAACTAAGTTTCATGAAATTTGATTGGTAGCTTGGACACCATAAATGAATAAGTAAGGATTTTTTTAAACAAGACCAATTCCATGTCCGGGACATTTTAACTGTGGTAAATGGGAAAGTTGAGCATTGAAAACCTCATATTCAAACTCAGTGGAGCGCAACAAAACATTTACTTGGTCTGTAACTCATCATGGTGGACTTGCATACCAAAAATCAGAACAAGCAGTATTGAAAAAAAGTCCAGAAAAGTATTAATTACTAGAAAGCTGGTTATTTTGTCAAAAATCAGCCGACCGGAACAAAACATTATCTTAATTTGTAACTCATCATAGTAGACTCACTTACCTAAAATCAGCTTAATATCTCAAGCCATTTAGAAAAAAAGTCTGGAAAGTTGTTATTTTCGTGAAATTTTCAAAGTCCAACGTCTGTAATTTCAGCAAAAATCAGCTGGGCGTAATGAAACTTACACTTAATTGGTAACTCATCATGATAGACCTGCATACCAAAATTCAGCTCAATAACTCAAGCGGTTTAGAAAAAGGTCCAAAAAAGTGTTATATTGAAGACTTTTCAAACTCCATAGGCCGTAATTTTGCAAAAAACCTGCCGACCAAAACAAAAAGCAAACTTGATCTGAAACTCAATCATAAACATTGATCTAACATCAATTGACAAACAAACAATACAACGAAATTAAGCAAACAAAATATGACATTCAATTAATACAGAAATATTACTGTAAAATCTATGTACATAACGTTCTGTGATATCCAAGCTGAGGAATAGAGTTTTCTATCTTTGACCAACCAATTTATCCTGTAGAACTTCAAATGTTTATATATATAGTTTGTCAGTATTGTACTGTAATGGAAATTGACATTTTGACTTTCAGTAGTAAAGACCAAGATAGCATAACAGCTGCTGTAGATGCAGGATGGCAAATGAGGGGCAGTGGAAGGTTTTATAACAGTTTATCTGGTAGGTCATCCTCATAGGTATATACTTTTAAATGATGTCTGTATGAATAGTCCCAGATTTGACATTCTTAAATGTAGAAATATTATGTGCTTAGAAAAGATGAAAATACATAATTATTTAAGGTGGGGAATGGTTCTGGACACGGAAACACATGAAATAAATTAACAGCTGCGTCACGAGCGCATGATACGCCCGCCGTCTTGTGTGTGAGGTTTTATGCAATAATCATAAATCGGTTCTGAGATACAGCGCGACATTTGAAAACCCCCCTTTTTTATAAAAAAATCAATAACTCTAAAATAAAATTTTTAATCATCACCAAAAAGTATACAGATCTTTAGATTAATATAACTAAGAAGTGTGTAAAGTTTTAAGCAATAATCATAAATCGTTTTGAGACAAACAACAGTACATAACACACAACATACAAAACCAAAGATTGAGCAACACGAACCCCAAGGAAAATCCCAAAATACATTTTGGTCAAAAACAACTGTAGAGGTGCCCATTACTTGTGTTTTCTATGGAGTAGATTTCTGAAACTCAATAAATTCTAATAATGTGTGTAGAATAAGTTCCGAATTCAAAGCAGGCAACGGCAGAACGAACAGGCTTACGAATGGTTTTGCTAGGTTTTGTCTTTCTCAACCTTAAGTTTTTATCAAATGTATTGTAGACTGTTTTTTTCGTCAGTTCCAAATTCGTTTTTGCCATAATTTTATCGGGCTCTCTTCTACTGATGAGTTATGGTTCTCTCTTTTATATTTCCCGAGTCTCGTTTAAAGTATTGAGATCTACGAAATTGACCTTCTAACAGATTAGAATAGGGCAATTCCCCGAATAGCGGATTTGTTATGTTTTTATTTTGCTAGTTGACAACATCTTAAATTTTTTCATTTTAAATAGTTTTAAGATACATTTTGTTGTGTTAAACATGTTAATTGGGTATTGTATTCCTGATGAAACAATATCAGGATGAACGCATTTATTGTAATAATGAATTGTTATTATCATTTTTATAGCCCTAGATCGATACCACTGCTGGTAGACCTTTAGTCGGCAAGGGTATCGTCAGCTCCGAGATCGTGTCAGTGGTTACACTTGTATTAATAAATTCCTAATTGATAAATTAATAATTGTATCAACAACTGAGGTCTAAATTCCCTCAGAAAAAGTTGACATAGTTTTCATATCAGGCCCTGTTTGATCATATAACTCTTCAAGTTTTAAGGTAGTTATACATTCTAGGCTCTCCTTTTTGATTTGTTATGAGCATTTCTGTTGAAGGTAAATCAAGAAAATCGTTTTTTTAAATTTATTTAAAACTGTCTATGCGTGCCTTTTCCAGAGGTTTATATAACCTTAGTTCAATAGTTTACTCAACCTGTATGTTATTTAGTGTCAAATGCATTTGCAGTACTATGTAAAAATAAGCAAATGCATATAATCTTTACAGTTTTATTTGAAAAAGTAAAAATCTACGGATGAGTGATGTCATGTACAGATGTTGTGATGTACTCCTTGTGTCCTCGTCTTTTCTTAATATCCTATAAAACAAAAGTAATTTCAATTTATTTAAGGTTAAATGATTTTTTTATAATGTATATATTATGTTAATGCAACCACTGCTTCTTTTCTAAATGGTGAACAGTGTCTTCATATTATAATTTTTTTGGTGAAAACTATTATAAACTACGTTAGAAAAATTGGAATAAAAACTTTTTTGTCTCCGTGGCAATTATACCACATCTTCGTATTTCTTTATTCACTGTAGCCTTTATAACAACACACCATAATTCCGTATTATAACAATACGATAAGGTTATGTCATCAGTGTAAGTTCTTGTTATATCTTTTATTTTCGATTTTTGGTTAAGTAAATGTAATTGTTTTACATTTTTCCTCGGTAAATGTCTGAACCAAGACAGGAAAATGATAATTGTTTCTTTTTCACTCGTTCCGTTGTTTTTGCTTTATTTTGTTTTTTAATTTTAGATAGCTTTTTAATATTTAAAATGCATTCTCTGTAACCACTTAAACTTTTTCGGCACACATAGTCACCGATCTTTCTGAAAATTGGCTGATATGTATATCCTATTAGCCTAGTCAGAAAAATAATGCCAACCGATATATATATTGGTTGGTTACCATGGTAACAGCGGAGAAAGTTGGGAATTTTAAGAAAAATACAATATTTGGTGTAGTGTTGTGAAATTATGCGGCTACATCTATTAAAAAGAAGCACCAAAACAATTAATTTCAGCCTTGTTTTTATCAAAAATCAAAAAAAATTATGGGGAATCTACCTAGAAAGAACTGAAATTAATTTCTAAAAATTGGTCATTGTGCAATATTCCTCACAATACGAATTATCTCCCTTTGACGGGTTACACTAATGACTGGACCAAAACGAAAATGCTAATAACTTTTTTATTTCTTAAAATTTTTGTCAAATTTGAATTGCTATAACTTTAGTCCATTTAATACATAAATATAAGAAAAAATATAGAAAACTTTTAAATCTTCATAAAACGTGACCTGACCAACGCTGACAATGACAGGACCAAATGAAAATGCTCATTACTTTTTTATTTCTTAAAGGATTTATGTTAAATTTGAAATATAATAAAATTTCATCATTTAATATATAACTATATTAAAAAATATAGAAAAAAATATTAAAAAATTCCGAAAAATCCGAAAACGTGACCCTTCTAACGTTGACAATGACCTGACCAACATCAGCAATGACCTAACCGATGAAAATTTCTGTGTTATTTTATATCATTAAAAAAAGGGGGAAAATATATGTTTTTAGGTAAAAAAAAACTTGACCTGACCAACGTTGACTGTGTCCTGATCGTTGTACTACCTAATACTTATTTATATCTTATAGGATTTGCTAAAAATTTATATAAAAAAAAACCATTAAGATTGAATGGTAAAGTCTTTATCAAATAATAAAAAAAAACTGGGAAAAACAGTTTAGGTTACTGTGACGGGCACCAGGTTATTTAAACTTTTTATGGTATTGAGTAGTATATTGTATTTTACTGTGTTGTAAATTATGTTGTATATTACCGGTTATAATTTGACACGTTTGATCACAAATATAAAGTAACACATAAAAGGTGTGAAGTAGGCCAAAAATACATGTAAGTTGATAAATCCAATATAATTGTTTTTTAATATTTTCATAACAGTAAATAATAATTTCCACGTACAACTTAAGGCATGCACGAGCCTTGTGTAGGATATCTTGGTAGTTTTAAATATTTTCATAAAAAAAATAAACATTTCGCGGACTACTTGAGGTATGCCCGAGCCCCTGCATGCACGATATCTTGGTTGTTTAAAATATTTTAATAAAATATAAGTAAACATATTCAACGACTTAACTTGAGGTATGCCAAATGTTCTCGAAAGTCAATACATTTATCGTTTGCTAATATGTTTGAAAAGCATTTTACATTTTCTTATTTGATAAAATTAATGGTTCAATCTAAGTGTTTCTATAAACTTGATGCAAAGCCTATTACATATAAATAGATATAAAGTCATTTTTCCTGGTCATGATAACAGTCAGAATATAGGACAGAAAGTCACAGACATAAAGTCAAGGACAAAAAGTCACATGTATTATATGTTATAAACATTGAGTCCTGTTTCAAAGTAAAATCTATTTTTTTTGTTAAAAGAAAGACAATTTACTAATTTTGAGAAACATCTTTCTGTAATGGGCTGTCAGCATGTTCGGTGAAAATAAAATTATATGTACATGTATACAATTCTTTTAAAGTTACCCTTTCACGGTAAAGAGTTATCATAATTTATGGTCAATATTTTTTAATTTGCTGCTAAAAATCCATAAAGATAATTGTTATTTTCTCAAATTTCAATAATCCAATGCCTAATAATAATGTTAAGATAGTGCTACCATAGGCGGATCCAGTGGCCCTGAGGGCCCGTCCCCTCCTTATTTATTGGAAATATTTGGTTGATTACATATGGAATCACTGAAGCATAAATGTAGCGGGCCTTCACTTTAGGCAGTCAGTGGGACCCCTTATATGACAATTGTCCAGATGGTATATTTCCCCCCACTGCTCGTTTTAAGACCTGAAGCCACCATCTGACAGATTTTCCACGGGTCCTCGTAGGGAATGGAAAATCTCGAAAATTCCTCCCCGGCCAGAACGGCAAACAGGAAATGTTTTGGATGGATAGCAGGGACCATCGGGTCAACGGCCGACAGTACCCGCCCTTGTTGGTTACGCCCTTTGTTTGATAAAGAACCCTTGTGTTAATTCTTTTAGGGGCACCCAAGTTGACCTATTGAAATTTCTGTCCTTGTCCAATTGATCTCGATTTCCAGTGATATTTCAAATTGTCCGCCTTCATCCCAGCCTACCCATATTGCCGAACCTTTTTGAAATTGTCTATTTTTTTCAACTTCACCTCAAAAATGATCTTCATGTAGATACTCGTCATCCAATAATACAATAATATTCAAAACGTATAGCTATACATGCTTTGCCATTTCAACATTGAGTTTAACAATGAATAAGAAAAATTAACAGCTCATAATACAGGTATTTTTTCCTTTATAGAAAGAAAGGTTAGATGGTCAATTATCATTTACTTAGAGGTTAATTAATTTTGGGTCAGTAGACTAGCACTGGACCAACAATGTTCCTATTAAATTTATTGATTTTGTTCTCTTCTGAAATATGCATGAGATATTTGACACTGGACACAAAGCAAACCATAACTAATCGATCATTTCATTTTTACAAAATCTTACCTCCCCCCCCCCCCCCCCCCCAACGTTATTGATTATTTTCATTTGTGATAAGTATTTATTTCTGTGCCTCCCACAAACAATTTTAAGCTTGGCCTTTCTTGAACTGTCAATGTTCTGATTGTATCTTCTTAATATTATGTATAAATAGTTAGGAGCTAGTAGCTAAAATTCCAAACTGTAAACACCAAGTGGCACTTTTATCTTTAATCTTCACTACAGCATTTGAATACTAGTGGATGGACTGACGTATAAACCATCATTCTTTGACACTGCATTAAATTGAAAACTTACAGAAGAGAGTTTTTGTATGAGAGATCTAGTCTATTTTCAAGCGTTTTCCAAGTTTATGCATATACATGTAATTTGTTGTTTCTATGGCAACACTATCACTAATAATGCCTGGAATATTATTAACATTTCTCAAATACAAGAAAACCTGTTTATGTAAGCAAAACTGTATACATTCATTGTTATATGTATCGAAGTTCATTAAAATGCATTTGTAAAAATTAGTACTTATCCGTATTTTTGCAAATGAACTACTTGTTTCCATGGCAACACATTCAATGGCAAATATTGTACAACTGAATATGTAATTTTTTAAATGATTTTATTTGTTTTTTTCTAGATTGAGTAATTGTTTTTCTTGTATATTTTTCATGATCATGAAAACAGACTGAAATTTCTTTATAATCAGCACTTTTATCCAGAATAGAGAAATTGTGTTTGTTTCCTTGAAGTGGTAACACCATTATCGAAATACTATACTAGCAAAATCATTTATATATACACATGTGTGTATACAGTGAAACTTAATAAGTGTTTTAGTTTTCCTACTTTTGTGCACATTTAAGAAACTAACTGAAACTTTTTTCAAAATTGTTTTAAACTTGTGTATCAAAATGAAACTGTTTCCATAGCAACACAGTTAAAACTATAATACCGTTATATATGAATATGTTTAAAATTTTGATGATTACAATAATTTCTACATATTGTTTATTTATTAATTTTTTTCTGACTGCAGAATTAGATTTTAAAACATTTTTTTTCAAAATTTTCAAAAAAAAACATTTTTCTGAAAAAATGAAAACTAAGCATTTTGTATCCATGGTAACAAAATATTGAGACATACTTCCCCATTACTTGTTCACATCATTGATAAGATAAGACTATGATATTTATGAATTCATGGTTGACTTTAACTCAGGTGTCCGCAAACAATTATGGTGAGCATTCAAAAATGACCTCAAAAGGGTATTTTTTACCTAATGCAAACCACATAAAAAGGGGGGTATATGTGATTATGATTGAAATGGAATATGAAAATATCAGTTATTAAATTACATTAATAAAATGCATATAATAAATAAAATCTTAAAACAATATTCATTCTCTTAATTATTTATTATGAAAAATTATGTTGAAAATAGCCTTTTTCAGCTTAAAAATCATAGATATTCAGAAGAGGTAAAACTGGTCATCGGTTGCTATGGCAACCGATATGTTTAGCAACCAAAATTTTGCAATTTTTTGTTTGTTTCATCAAGACTAGTAAGTGTGTGAAGTTTGAAGAAAATCCATGACCATGCGTGCCACACTCCCTATATAAGAGTTTAAATTGTTACAGAGAACCAGTATTAATTAGGATATAATTTTAATAGTAAATGAAATGTACAGCTTTAAAACAAATTAAAAACCGTTAATTTGAAAGATCAAAGGGTGAAGTTCCTGTATCATAAAGATCTAATCGGTAATAGATCTCTGTCTTAAATAAAATATCATATAAACATGTTATATTTTCACCATAATTAGACAGCATGGGAGATCATTGATGCCGTTAGAATTTAAAATGGTTCAGATTTGAAACCTACTTTGTTGATTCCATCTTGAATTAGATCTCCACCCTAAATTTGATCGTCTTCTTGAATTAGTTCCCCATGTATTCAACCGTTCTAATCCACTGTCCAGATGACTGCCTCTGTATGGATCAAATGACCCGTATCCAGTAGCTGCTCTTTTGTATCCTATATAGATAATAAATATTATTATTTTTGGCCTTTTATTATTCTGTCCTCGTTTAAAATGTAACGATAATTTGGTGCTTTAAATCACACGTTAGATATAAACAATTGACGAGGTTAAATCTTATGACCAGGCATATGAATCAGTACAGTTCCTCTACTATACGTGTACACTTTCTTGTAAACAGATACAACGTACAATGTAAAAAAAGGACTTTTTTCAGGAATGTTGATCATATGAATGTAAATTATACAATGACAGTTATTTGGAATTCTTTTGTTGGTATACATACATCATTTGGAAAATGAATATTATTTTGAATAAGTTTAATAAAAAAAAGATATATATTTTTATCAAATCTTACTTCTGCCTCCGCTATTCAATCCCCCTATCAGCTGTCCGCTGTTCCAGCTTCCAGTCAGATGTCTACTATTCCATCCATTATTCAGACCTCTAGAGCCCTGCAAATCCCATGATCTTTGATTTCTATTGTAACTATCATAACCGCGAGCAGTGGCTAAAGTAACCATCACAGCAAGTACGATAACTATTGCTAAGGTATTCATGTTTCTGTAAAAAAAATACATCAACATTTTTATACCAAAATGATAATGCTAAATTGAGGCTTTTTAAGATGTCAAAGATTTCTTGAAAAAAAAATACGTAAAAATATGTCAAAATAATAATAAAAAAGCTGCATTGAAAATAACAGGATGCGACAAAACCAATCAAAAATTCTGTTGTCAAATTTGTTAATTCGAAAACCGACGCAGACTATTGCATTCTTTGGATATTTAACTTCTTCTTATTTTGAAAATACAAAAGTTGAGAAAAATGCATAAAAAAACATTTTAGTTGTAAAAACATTAATATATGCGTTGTTGAAATACAGATTGAGATTTGGAATGAAATATTTACAAAAAATGGTTTAACGCACATAGTATTAAAAATGTTTTCTTTCGATCATATTTATATTCAAATCATGCTGAAAAGTTAAGTTAATAAAACAGGTAAATTTAAAAGACATAGATATAATGAACAACTCACATGTTTTTTTTTCTTTCTTTGATGTACTTGAATGGCTACTAGACCAAATTTGATATAAAACACTGAGATAGCATTTCTCTTTTATATCATTTAGTTACAAGGAAATATTATTAAACGGGGGAATAAAAGAAAACCCATATCACTCAAACAATCTACGTAAATGTATTTGAATCAATCACAGGTTGTAAAGGTTACCGTTATGAAAGTAAGGTCAATGTCACTCGCTAGACGTCAAGTCTTTTTATGGTCACATCTGTCTTTAATAAATAACAGGTTTATGATTATGCATTCAGTTTACTAATGAGTTTATATTAAAACAAATAACCGTATCAATAATTTCATAACACTAGTAAAAGGTAGGCGAAAACTACCGAAGGGATAATCAAACTCACAGTCGAAATATGAAGATTAATTATCCACAATGTTCAATTCAAGCAAATAGATATTTATTGGTAATACATTTAAAGTTCTTTATTTCGATTTAAGAGGCCAAAGCCAGAAGCATGCGTTCATAGTTTTACTGTTGGAATGGAAGCATCTTGAGGTTCGGGTCCTCAGTATACGGAAATGGCCAAGTTGGGCCGGCCATAATCGTGTTAAAGTTTTAGTTTAAGATAATTACCTATAAACTTGTGGTCACATCAACTTGAACTGTGTACAAAACGCATAACATGGTCAAATTGCAAGGATATAACGGCTAATTATTCTTTGAAAATGTGTTAATTTCTTATGGGCATTGGTTAAGGTGGACTCATATTCTTGTTTGTGTATTTGATGATGTAATTATATGCGGTTCACTGCGTTATTATTAGTCTGGATGTGGTCCTCATTTTTTTTGCATTTTTTATTTTTTAAGGTAATTATTGTATTATCTATTCTCTATGTTTTGGTCAATTTTCAGTAGTATTGGCCAATTATTCTCTATTTTATTGAACCCATCCAAATTCTCTCTAATGAATAGATAATGGAGGATGCTCATAACAAAACAACCAAGACTATATAAGTCGACAGAATTAATTTAACATAATGAACTTTGTAAACATAAGATATATATGGATATCCTTGAGCTATATTTAACATAAGATATATTTGGATATCCTTGAGCTATAATTAACATAAGATATATATAGATATCCTTGAGCTATATTTAACATACTTTTCACCATAATCATGAGAATAGAACAAGTGATATCAAAATCAGCATCTTTTGATTGCAATGATATTTGTTAGTTTGCGCCACAGACTAAAATGAATTGTCATACGTGTAATATATATTATCGCTTCTTCTTTATAAAATAAACATATCCGAAACTATAATTTAGTAGAAAAAACAAAACACAAAAGAAATGTTTAAAAAGATTTGAAAGTAAAACTATTTTTTTTTTAGTTGTTTTCCTTTTATTTTACATAAGTTATGATAAACCTCCTAGTTTTGTACTATGTGGAAGATGTTTTTTGCATTATTTTCAAATATAATGATAATATTTGTTATGTAGTCCAATATCTTTTAGGACAAAATATATTTCACCTATTTGATCAGGACTATACTAGTGTCTTATATGTCAGATATATAGACTATAGGTATATATATATATATATATATATATATATAAGCCTCTAGTTCCTTAACATGTTGCTCTTTAAACAAGTTTGAATAGTTGTTTCGTGAGTTTCAGAAATACTAATTTATTTCCATCTCAGAGTAAAGCATTGTTGGTAGCATTATTTGAAAGTGATTTATATTTGTTTATTTTTTCTAGTCTTACGATTCAAATAGCTTTGAAAATTGTGATAAAGAACATAACATTAACACAGACAACTTGATGTAAATGACGAGCATAGTGATATTAAAAAACTGTTTTTTCAGAAAAAAAAAAAACTTGATTCGCACATCAAAATTTTTAACTGAGGCAGATAGGACAATATTCTTAACGTGTACTAGTATAAACTTTCGATAAAACGTTATTGAAACCTGTGCATTGCATACTTTTTTATAACATTTAATATTCCGGAAATCTTTCTGAAATCTGACTGAAATGTATTATAACTCGAATCTTTAAGAAAAGAATCCTGACGATCCTGGAAACTACAGAGTATTTAATTGGTATCTCATCTTGGGAAATACTTACGTCGTTGATTAAGGCTTATATCATGCTGCCAGTTTAAAATTACATTTGCAAATGCATAATTTGAATTCCATCCTGTAAACAGCATTAGTGATGCTATCATTTACCTTCAGCCCTTGATAGAGTTTTCATGTAAAAGGTTACAATTTAAATTTAAATTATTCATCATGGGAAAATTTTACAAATATATACATTAGTGTATAAAGCTACCTATGTTTTATTTTAATGTAAGTTTGGATTGGTCTAGTTTTGTCTTTGGACATAGATTATGAAAATGGACAAAAGTTCACAAAACGCAACAAAAACAATTCATTTATATATAAGACCAAATATGAGAGAGAGAGAGAGAGAGAGAGAGAGAGAGAGAGAGAGAGAGAGAGAGAGAATAGGGGCTGATTGGAATAAATCAGATAAAGAATAAAATTATAAATATCTGAATAAAATTTGGTGCAATAACATTAAAGGTAGCAATTTTACTACACCAGCTATGCAACTTGAAAATTAAATTGATAAAAAACGTTTTAGGAAGTGTAAAGACATATTAAAAGGGTATGTTATAAAATAAAAAAAAAATCTTTAGGTTTAAAGAATCACCAATAAACAACTACAAAGTTGAACAAAAGGCAGTTTTTGAACAATGTATAATAATATATTTATAAAATGTTTTAAAACTAGACAGTTGTATAGTTTTATTTTAATGCATCAATGTATAGAGGTTGACAGTTAATAATTAAATAAAATATATACACTTTTAAAAAATGAATTTTTGTAATTCACCTATGAACCATCGCATTTGTCTGCATTGCCAGAATACACTTTCGATAACAAAACAGAAACACAAGTACTACTCACTATACAAAATAATCAATCATGAGATAATTAGTAAAACTATTTTTATGAGTACAAAACATTGTGATAGTTGTTCGGTTGTATGAATGAAGTCGCGTGCATTTCATTGATAAATTGACATGAATATAATGGTTTACTTTTATAAATTTTGACTTGGATTGAGAGTTGTGTCATTGGCACTCATACCACATCTTCTTATATCTATGAACACCTGACGTTGCTGCACTGGTACATAAGTCGTGGCTAAATATTCTCGAGTATCAAGTCCTGTCCATGATTTAAAAGATATTAGGCAGTACATGTACAGATTGCCGATAAACGTTATTATAAAAAATATTAATAGAAACAATACGAAAAATTTCGGTCATTTTATTGTTGAAATCCTTCATTTAATCGATATGCATGGCCTTTTATGATCCGTGTGCAAGTTGACGGATTTCATATTTATAATCTTCAGGTTTAGATATTCTAGAGCTGAAAAAAAGGTTTGAAAAGGAAGAAAAGTTGGCAAAATGACCACTGTCTGTCTACAGGAACCTACAAACAGACTCAACATTTACTTATTCTAAATTGAGTAATTCGACGGAGTGTTAGAATTACGATGAATGCTGTATCAAAAGAATTACTTTTCATTTCATTTGTATATTTTTACATTATGTAGAAAATCATTGATCTTGTTTTTTTTTCTTTTTATTTAGTCTTCCAACAAGGACAACAGAAAAAGGGATTAAAACAAAACTCTTACTTTTCTAACGAGCGTATGTATAGGAAAATATGGAGATAATATAAGGATGATAAAATATTCATTTCGCACTGAAATGGATGCATGAGAACCAAGAGAGGCGACAGATACGAAAGTAACATTCAAACTCAAAAATAGAACAAAAATAAAAAAATTAATACTCTTAACACATACTTTCTACTCTTGACACATACTTTCTACCGTCGCCGGAGAGGAGATATAATTCCAGGTTTAAAAAATTGAAATAGTTTGTAGTTCATCTTATACACGGTTAACAAATGATTTTTTCCAGATGAGATTGTTTTTTTTTTCTTTTTCCTTTTTTTTCACTACCATATGATAGCTTCTAATATATTTATTTAAGGAAGCGAAAGTAAAGATACATATCCAACACACTTTTGAGAATTCATTATTATTGACATGACCAGAATCTCATTTCAATGTCACGCGTTCTATTCTAATCCAATGTATGTTAAATATAGCTCAAGGATACTGGTATATATCTATATAATGTTTACAAAGTACAATATGTAATATCAATTCTGTCGACTTGTGTAAACCTGTTTATTTTTCGTAGCATCCTTCTTCAGCTATTCATAAGATAAGGTCTGGATGGGTTTTATAGATTAAGGAATAACAAATCAATGCTACAGAAACTGGACCAAGTAGATAATATGATAATTACCTAGAATTTAAAGAATATAGAAATGGAAAAAACCCAACCAGCATAAAATTTTATTCACGTAGTCAATCGGAAATAATTACATCATCTAATACAAAAACAAGAATATGTGTGCACAGGAACAAATGCCCCGCATAAACTATCATATTTTGAAAGATCAACTATCCGTTATATCTTCGCATTTTGACCATGTTATGAGTTTTGTTAAAGTTTAAAGTAGGAGTAAATTATCTAAAATTAAAAAAACTTTATCCTGACTAAGGACGGACAAACGGATTTCTAACTGACTGGAAACATAAACAAACTTAAGTATTGTAGGCAGGCATTATCAAATACACAACTAACAGGACCGTAACATTATACATCTCTTCTGTACAGAATAACCGACATTTGTTTTACGATTGATGGTCAAATAGCAAAGAAACGGTTTTAAAAGTTTAAAGTTGATGTAACCACAAGTTTAACGTAAATTATATTAAATTTATAGCTTTAACCCGACTAAGGACGGACAAACAGATTTCTAAATGACATGAAAACATAAACACCATAGTACTGTAGGCAGGCACTATTAAATACACAAACAACAGCATAATAACAATATACATCTCTCCTGTAAAGTATTACCGACATTTGGTTTACGTTTGATGGTCAAATGAAGTAGATGTAAGCAATTATAGGCA